CGGTGAAATATGTGAGAAACAGTCAAGGTTTTGAAGAGTCAGCCCAACGTCTCACGCACGAGACTTGTCTTCGCCTCTTTAGTTCTTTTGTTATAGTTTTGTTACGTTGACGAAAACATTGAACTACTTTTGTATATAAACTTTGGGTTTGACTGACTTAGATTTGAATGATCCTGTGTGTACAGTTTGTACACTACAAAAAAAATTGTTTTTTACGACGGCAGAACGCCGTCTCAAAAGCTATTTGCGACGGTATTTTTTCTTTTTGCGATGGCAAGTGGGGGTCGCAACAAGGGGGGTTGCAAAAGACCTTTAGCGACGCCATTGTTTTTGCGACGGGAATGTCTCTTTTTTTGCGACGGCAAATTTCTGTCGCCGATTATGGATGAAGATCTGGGCTATTTTGCAACGGCACAAGCTTTCCGTCGCTAAAATAGATATTTGCGACGGCAAAATTCTGTCGCAAAAAATGTCGTCGCAAAAAATGTCGGCGTTAATGACTATTGGCGACGGCAATTGCACCGTCGCTAAAGCCTTGTTTCTCAAATAAATTCCACCTTTTGCGACGGTATGGCTGCCGTTGCAAAAAGCCTGGCACGTTTTTTTTTTTTTTTTTTTTTGCGACGGGGTGTTCTGCCGTCTCAAAAAAAATTAAAAAAAAAACCCCCTGTTTTACAATTATTTAAAAAATAAAAATAACCTGTAATGTTGGCAAATGATATAATAATATAAATACATAAATAAAATAACTAATGTTGGCAAGTGAAAAATAGCTAAAAAAAAATCAAAAAATTACATAATAATATAAATCCATACATAAACAAAAGTTGGCAAATGATAAAAATTCCTAATGTTGGTCACATAATACATACATAATGTTGGTCACAAATTTAAATAACATAAATCAAAATCAAAACCAAAAGTTTTCGTCTTGATTCTTTCGTGAGTTACAAAAACAGAAATTGGTTATAATCTTTACGCGCCCACATTCCACATGAAGCAAACTGCTACTCACGAAATATCTAAAAAAAACAAAATAAAATAATTAATAACAATATAATGGTGTTAATATTGTAATTACAGAAAAATATAAAAAAATTAACTACCACATAATTAGAAAGATAGTTTAGTAAATAATTTTGACTAGAGGAACTAGTTTGCCCAAAGTGAAATCCGGCTCCAACTCCCAAACCAGGAACCCGATTCGAGCCCCGTCTTCTCCCACAAGTCTCTCGTGCCTAGGCGATCGTATGTGCCAAGTTTCGTGCTAAACCGACGCCGTTTGGTGATTTTGGGGCTTTAACTCATCGAATTCAAGTTTCTTAAGGAACTAGTTTGCCCAAAGTGAAATCCGGCTCCAACTCCCAAACTGGGAACCCGATTCGAGCCCCGTCTTCTCCCACAAGTCTCTCGTGCCTAGGCGGTCGTGTGTGCCAAGTTTCGTGCTAAACCGACGCCGTTTGGTGATTTTGAAACGTTAACTCCTCGAATTCAAGTTTCTTAAGGAACTAGTTTGCCCAAAGTGAAATCCAGCTCTAACTCCCAAACCGGGAACCCGATTCGAGCCCCGTCTTCTCCCACAAGTCTCTCGTGCCTAGGCGGTCGTGTGTGCCAAGTTTCATGCTAAACCGCCCGTTTTGGGGGGGTGATTTTGAAACGTTAACTCTCGAATTCAAGTTTCTTAAGGAATAGTTTGCCCAAAGTGAAATCAGCTCTAACTCCCAAACGGAAGACCGATTCGAGCCCCGTTCTTCCCACAAGTCTCTTGCCTAGGAGGTCATGTGTTGCAAGTTTCGTGCTAAACCGACCGTTTGGTGATTTTGGAACGTTAACTCCTCGAATTCAAGTTTCTTTAGGATAGTTTGCCAAAGTGAAATCCGGCTCCAACTCCCAACCGGAATCCCGATTCGAGCCCCGTCTTCCCACCCCAATCTCTCGTGCTAGGCGGTCGTGTGTGCCAAGTTTCGGCTTAAACCGACGCCGTTTGGTGATTTCGGGGCGTTAAACTCCTCGAATTCAAAGTTTCTTAAGGAATAGTTTGCTAAGAGTGAAATCGGCTCTAACTCCAAACGGAACCGATTCGAGCCCGTCTTCTCCCAAAGTCTCTTTTTAACTTAGAATGTCTAAAATTATGCAAAGATACATTTTAGCTTAGAATCGCAAAGATACATTTTATACGATCCTTCCCTGGTGGTGGGATAATGGATTCTCGTTCTTGCAGATATCCTAACATGCCGGTGGCCACTGAGCATCAGGAAACGTGATATCAATACATAATGTGTTAATCAATAATTCGACATTGTATACATAATCTTGTGTGAAAATTGAACTATCAAACAATTGTGATGTTTATATGGAACCTGTCTGTTGGGATCCACACTCGCCCCCTGTGACACAAGGGCCATCATCTCAGCTCTCATCTGCTGCAAATGTGTAGAGAACTCTGCTCGCAGCTCCTCCCTCAACTCATCCCTTAGCTCAGCACGAACCTGCTGCGTGATCTGATCAATAGTCGATGGCTGGGGTGTTGACTGTGATGGCCCAGCACCATCCTTATACACCACTCTCCGAGGCACGATTCTCCCGTATGTGCGACAATATCCATGTCTGTCATGACCTATCAACTCATGGAAAATGGCATTCCTAGCCTCCAAAGTCCGACCATCCTCAGGTAGCATAGAGAGTTGACGATTAAACTCATCCTGTATTGAATAAGACACACAAGTATACGCGAAATTAAGATGGTTGACACAGAAAAAATAAAAAATAAACTTTAATACAATGTTAGGTGTTTGGAAACTACCAAGGTCTGGATAACCTCTGGGTCATCTCCTCTACGTGTCATAAGCCAAACATTCATCTTATCAGTAGACTCCCCCTTACTGGTCATCTAATTTTTTTTTAGAAATATGAAAATTAGAATCCAAATAATTTGCAAATATACAATGTTTATTTATATAGAAAAATAAAACAATAAAATGTAAACCTCATGCTGTATCTGAGAGAAAGTAGTACGCCCTGTGGTATGAGCTATGCCGTGAGCTCGCCGATTTTTAGCGTTCCTACTTGTAATTTTCTATAACAGGTTCAACAAATGTAAGTATGTAAATATGATTTGTATGTTTACATATCATAAATATAACTTATTTGTGTACCTCAGGATCGGAAGTACGCCAATACTCTACAAGTTGTTCCCACTGGCTTGGCACAATGTGCATAGGAACATCATCCTTCAGATTAGGATCAGAACTTCTAGGCTTGAAATACTTAGCCTTAAGCTTGTTCTTGTGATCCTTCCATATGTTGTTGCAGTTTTTCATGCAGATTGGCTTGTACTCCTTTGGACATATATTCAAATTGTCCTATAAAACACAATTTCAAAGTTTAAATAATAATAACACAATTTTGGAATTCGAATTTGTGGACAAAAATATACTTTTACCTTCACACCCTTCCAGATAGCATCAATAATATCATCAGGCACATTGTTCCAGTCAAGAAAAGTAAGAGGAGCAATGTTACCATTCCGCACAATAATGCCAAGTTGAGTAGTTAACTTAGCCACGTTATCCCCTATTAGGCAGTAATTTCCATCAAATTGTATGTCTAGCTTTTTACCAGTACCCTACTCTTTAATGCCCTTGGTACATCCTCTACCACGCCTAGTCGAGGTTGATGAAGAACTAACATGACCTGCGAGCTACAATAGGTTTTTTCTTCTCAAAAATCGATCTGAACTTAAACTGATTTATTATGATTTCTCTGTCAAGGTCCGCACTCAGCTTTCTCGTACTATTAAAATCTTTCGTTTTGATAATGCTAAAGAGTACTTGGATTCTGAATTTCTTTATTTTCTTCGGGCTAATGGTATACTATCTCATCGATCTTATGCTGGCACGTCCCAACAAAATGGACAGGCCGAAAGGAAGCACCGTCATATTCTAGACACTACTTGGTCTATTCTCATCTTGCGGATGGCTCATAAGCTGATGACTCTAGTCGGGATGCTAGCTGCTGTGGTGCCACTGATGGTGGACGCACCGATGGTAGGGGTGGAGGCTGAGTACATGGTAGCTGCTGTGGTGCCACTAAAGGCCCCTCTGATAGTGGCCGATGTGATGTCTCCTCTGATTGTGGTGCTACTGATGTCCTGTTTTGTAGCACATCAAACATCATGCGTCGGGGATGATCAGGCTTCCTCTTCCTTCCCATAATAATTTGCAAGCAATATAACATTAATTAACATTAGAAACATAGACAATGGTGTGTCGTCAACTATAATATGACATTAATTGAACTAATACAATTACAAAGATAAAGTAAATTAAGAAATTGATGATTAACTACAACCTTGGCCTTAATTGAATTACTAATGTTTCCACCACTATCAGCCTATTTGAACATCAACTGTTTCCCCTTCTGCGGCTTCCCTCACCCAACCAACTTCTTCATCACGAAGCATTATATTTTCTTCCAATTGTTGGCTCATGTATGGCTCGATTTGTGGATCAGTCGAACTCATATCAAATAAACCTCTTTGAGACATCTTCACCACGACTTGCCAGTCTGGTTGTAACGGGTCTACAACATACCAAACTTGCTCTGCTTAGAACGCCAAGATGAAAGGTTCATTGGTAATTCGATTATCTTGGTACAACAAATGATTGGAGTTCACGAACATGAAATTGAAGACATCTTCTTTCTTTCTGTGAATGTTGTCAATCCAATCACACTTAAACAACACATGTTTCTTCTCATTGGAATATCGAATCTCAACAATATCTGTCAATTGTCCATAATAGTACACAGACCCCACACGAGGATTCTTGTCTTTTCGACTAGTATAACTTATGGTATCTGCCTTCAAAGCTACACCACAATTTTGTGTGACTCAACGATCATCCATGGCCTTTACTCGATACCGAAACCCATTCAGTATATACCCGTTGAACCTCCTTGCCAAGTTATGAGGACCATTTGCCAATAGAATAATCTCATCAGAAAATATGACATCAGTAGTCCTTCGCAAAGTTTGGACCTATTTAACACGAAATGTAAAATTTAAAATGTAGTTCGACTTAAGTAACTAGAATCTATAGACTTAAATACATACATGTTCCTTGAACCAAATGTGAAAAGTTTCAAAATGTTCACGCCGAAGTTGATGATCATCGACACGAGGCATTTTGAGCTTAAGTACTTCAAGGTGTTTGCTGTGTAGATTGAAATTTTAGCCATACAAAAATTTTAGTTGAAAATTCAATAAAACATAATAAAATATTGAGTGAGTGACTTAACCTACTTTATGAATGGTTGAACCGCGCTTGTATTGAATAAGATGTACCGACGAGCTTGTACCCAAGAAGTATTATCAAGATAAAACCTTGTGTTTTCACCAATAGCATGACCCAAATTATCAGCACCACTATAGTTCCTCACGGGTCGACTAGATTTGGTTTCCACATCAACATATATTCAAATTGTCCTATAAAACACAAAGTTTAAGGCTAAGTATAACACAAATTTGGAATTCGAATTTGTGGACAAAAATATACTTTTACCTTCACATCCTTCCAGATAGCATCAATAATATCATCAGGCACACTGTTCCAGTCAACAAAAGTAAGAGGAACAATGTTACCATTCCGCACAATAATGCCAAGTTGAGTAGTTAACTTATCCACGTTATTCCCCCTATTGGGCAGTAA